GCAGGAACGCATGGAGACTGCACTTAAGACAGGCTATCAGATATGCCTGTCCAGCGAAAAGGAGCTGGGGAATAAAGGGGACCGAGAGCCCGCGGGGTCGGCCTCTTCGCTTGTCTCGGATTCTCACCAAGCAGATGGGAGCTTTCCTTCGGACATTTTCTCGCGGCTCTTGGTGATGTCCAGGTTTGCAATGAAGGGATTCGGAGGAAGCGGGTGCACCACTGTCCCTCCCCAACACTTCGAGCCCCGGGGCTCGGGAGCCCCCTGAATGGTAGCCTGTCAGGACTAAGGCCGTGGCGATTCCCAGGGCCTCTACGACGGGCGACACCGCCGGGCCACGCGGCGTAACGACCCCTCCTCGAGTTGGTGAGGCCATCTTGCAGGGATCCCAGGATTTCCTCCTCGCCCGGCACCCAGCTCCAGGGATCGTTCTTGGTTTCCCTACCGCGGCGCATATGCACGTGGAACCACTGGGCTCTCTAGAGTCATTCAAATAGCCTTAAAAACCACGGCGGCGCTGTCGCATCCTGCGTGGTCGCACGCGGGGATGGGCTTCTTTGAAGTCGAGTTTGGAGTGGGGTCATTGTCCCTCGCCCTTCGGCTCCCCCTGGTGGTCTCGAGTGCAGGTTTTCTCGGCCTCTGAAGATTGGGGGTAAAAGAGCACCCAGAGGGAGCAATGAGTTTCCTCTGGTGGGTCCTAGTTGAACCACCCCCGTCCCATCATAAGCTACTCCTTCGGGCCCGTGGCGGCCATACTGTGCCTGGCAGGACCAGGTAGGGCCTTTCTTTGTAGTGTCCCTGGCTGCTCTCGCCATACACTGCGGGTTGGGGAGAGCATGTACCTAGAAGCAGCCCCCACCCCTGATCCACTAAGCAACAGTTTGCTAAGGCAGCTTGTTGACACCCCCTGTCCATTTTTTTCCCTTGGTGTTTAATGATCTGGTCGCTGAGGTCTGACGCGCGGCCGCCGCAGGGGAGCATTGCTGACAGGAGCCGTGTGGCCTCGAGCGCGCGGGACTTTGCCGGCACTCCCGGGATGACTGGTGGGGATGGGGGCCCAAGCCAAGCGCGCTGGGGGGAGGGGGCAGCTCTGGGCCCCGAGAACCGATGGCCAGGGTCCCATCCTGGTGGGGGGCGCCGCGAATGGGGGACAAGGGCCGGGCGCGCAGCCGGCGGGGTCAGGGGCGAAGGGGCAGGCGGAGGGCAGCGCGCGGGGAGCCGGCGCGGCGGCTCGGGTTACGGCGGTCCGGCCCTCCCACCCGCAGCTCGGGCGCGGCGGCCGGGGCGGGCTTCGGCGGTCCCCCGCTGTTTGCATTTCTCTGGCAGGCGGCGGGACTTGGTTTGAAAGGAATCGCCTTCATTTGGAACGTTGTTTATTTTTCTTAACTAGCCAGCGCCGACAGACGACCCCTTAAGCACTGCTGCCGGACCCGGCCGAGCTGGCACTGGAAAGGGTCAGGACAAGGGGCAGCTTCGCTAGAGGGGCACTGAGAAGCCGGGTCCTGGGAATGCGCCCTAGTCCACCCGTGGCAGGGTTGGGGGAAGGGCAGTGGAGGGCCAGAGATCGACTTTCTTCCTAGTAGGGAAACGGACCTATTGCCGTCGTTTACCTTAGCTTTGACCTTGCACGAGGCAGATCAGTGAAGTGGTGAAGTTTTCTGGCTTTGGCGTCCGGCCGCCTTGGATTTCAGTTCCCCCTCCTCGATTTTTGGCCCTACGACTTGGGGCAAGGCACCTTTGTGACTCAGTTTCCTCCACTTTCAAAGGGATCTTAGTGCTTCGCCCTGTGGATTGCTGTAAAGATTAAATGAGATGATGCACCCTTAGCGCAGGGCCTGAAACTTACCAAAAGCTCAGGAGCTATCAGCTCTTTTTATGCGGGCTGTAAGCCACGCGAGAGTGGGTGGGGGGCAGCCAGCAAGTGTGGGGCCCAAAGGGAAGCCGCTTGAGATGGAGGCCCGTGACTCCCAACCCCTGGGATGAGGTGCGGGCTGAGGAGAGTTCTGAGCGTTTTTGACATGAAATGAATAAAATGCAAATGATATTCAAAGCAAGATGCTAATGAGGTTCTATTCTTTGAGCGTCCACAGCCCCGGCAGTGCCCATAATGGTGGCGGAGCTGGTGTGAACTCAGGGATGGGCAGGGTCCAGCAGCTCAGGTCTGGGTGGTGAGTGTGTGAGTGTCGGCGCGAGCCTCCCCCGGAATGTGCGTAGCCGGCTCCGGGCGTGCTCGCGTCGACATGAAAATGAGGTCAGGGAAGGTCGTTCCACTCTGCAGCATAAATCAAGGAGGAAAGGAGAATGGATGTGAGAGACAGTCCCTGGGGACCTCCCCGTGAGAGGCAGAGCGAGAGAAGAGGGAGGGAAGAAAAGTTCTGCGTGGAATGGACGAGAAGCGGCCCTGCGCACTTCCCCCCTGAGCTTTCCGCCCAGGCGGTCCAGTAACAGTGCCCCATCTAAGACCCGACCGTGCCCTTGGCCCCACCCTCCTCCCGCAGCTTCCCAAACACGTTTCCTCTTCTTTTTTGGTCCCCAATTTAAATGGTCCTTATCTGAGCGCCCTTTGTGTGAACAGTGAAGCTCCTGCACCCAGCCTTCCCGGGAACGTGTAAGTGCCCACGCGCAGACGCCACAAGCACACGTAACTGCACATGTTATACGCGGGCACACACTGGGGCCAGCGGCGTTGGGGGGGCGCCCTGCAGGGATAGCAGTGCCGGCGAATCCGACGCTGGCACGTCCTTTTCCTAAGCAACCCGCCTTCCCAGTCTCCCTAACACCAGCTATGGTGGTTCCCGGGGTCTCTCGGGGCCTCTCCAGCTCTTCGCTTTCCGCGGGCCACCGGGGAAACGCGGTGCTCCGCACTAGTCCCTACCTGCGCGCTGTCCTGAGACTCCATCAGGGATCTCTAGACTCTCAGGCAGCCCTAGGGAGGAAACAGAGGCACAAATCCAGGACCACCCAGCTCCCTGGGGAAGAGGTACCAGAATGAGTCAGCCCCAGAGTGGGGGAGGGAGAGGGATCTCATCCCCCACGCTCCTGCATCTTGGACACACCAGGCCCAGAAAGGAAAAAGGAGCGGAACAAAGGGGCGGTAACCCTTTCTGGGGGGAAATCCCCGTGGCACTTTGACGTGCTCTTCTCCCAGCTGGCGTGGGGTACCTGCTGTTCCAAGAATGGGAAAGAGAGTTGTGAAGAGAGCCCCGCCTAGGGTTTGTGCCTAGGCCTGGATCAGATTCATTCTCACCTTATTCTCCGTATGACAATGCATAACATGATGCCTAAAACCTGTATAGTAGACACAAAATAGGCACCCGAGAGCACATACTGAGTTAAATTTACAGCGAGCTGTCATCACCAGGATCCTTCAGGAGTCTCCACATTTTGTAAAAGAATTCATTAAGTCATACTTTCATTCAGCAAGCAGTAAATTCCTACCAAGTGTCAGAGCAACAGGAAGATAAAATCCTGGCCCTCAGAGCACTTCCATTCTCCTGAGACAGAAAGATCATAAATAGATAAACACAGAAACATAGAATATGGTGACAAGGAGGGCAGTGGAAGAAAGAAAACGCCAGATCAGGGAGAGCCTGAGGGGAGGAGGCAGAGACCAGAATGAAGTGAGGAGCATGAACTTCTGGAGGGACAGGGTCCCAGGCAGAGGAGGCTGCAAACTGCAAATACAGTGGCAGATGTAGAAAGAGCCTGACATTGATCTTTGACCCTAAGGAGAGAGAATGGAGGTGAAAGGGAGGTCAGTGGAGATTCAGGGGGATCAGATTATGTGAGGTTTTGTAGGCTATGTTGGAAGACCTTCAATTACATAGTAGGGATGTTGGGAAGCCGTTGGAGTATTTTAAAAAGGGAATGAGGCAATCTGATTTATGTTTGTAAAAATGAAAAACAGGGCTGGAGATGTAGCTCAGTGGTAGAGCCTTTGTTTAACATGCACACCGCCCTGGGTTGGATATCGAGTACTACAAAGTGAGTGAGTGAATGAATGAATAAAATTTTGAAAGACAGGGGAGTTAACTGGTTCATGTTTTGCAGGTTCTTGGGTTTCTTAATTCAGATCTCAATCCAGTCCAATGTATTGAACACGAATGCTTAGGCCAGGAGATGTCTTGAATAATACTCTACCTCTCTTGCACCCATACTTTTGGGGAAGGTATCGTGGATGGGGCAGTTGGTATGGTCTCCATAGCGGCCAGCTTTGGAATGCGGGCTGTGGGAAGGCATTCTGGGAGCCCCAGCGTGAGGATCTCTGGTGTTTCCACTCCTTGATTTGACTCCCTCCCACCTGTTGTCTTTGCTTGGCTTACCCTGGCCCGGTTCCTGGCTGTACAACAAGAGTGGGCTACGCTGGCATAAGAACGCAAGACTCAGTCTCTCTCCGACGCATCAATTCAGCAGCTCACTAGGCTCAGAATGCTGGTTTTCCCCAGAGAGAATCTGATTGTGCGCAAAGCCAGCACCGTGGTCCCATACCGTCTCCTAGTGGCCATGAGGGATACTGCAGCCGGAGTCCGTACCAGATGCAGAACTGAGCCGGGGACAGCAGGGGGCGCAGGAACATGCTTATTGATTACTCACCAGGTGCCAGGTGTTGGGCAAGGTGCTTCACTCATTTTATTTAACCATCACAGTAACCCTAGGATATTCAGACTTCCGGAGCAGCCTGATCCCCGACAGTGAAAAGCAAGGGGCTTTGAGTGGGGGAGCTTTTGTAATCTCAGATCTCAGGAAAGGAAGGAAGGAAGGTAGGCAGGGAGGGAGGGACCACCCTGAGCTCACCACCCTGCTCATTCCCCACCTTTAATCTCAACGTCTGGAGACCTTAAGATTGGCACTGGGACTCCCTCTTTATGAGGCGCTGGGGACGCGCAAGTTGGTTTTGCACCTGCAGCAGCCCATCTGGGCCCTTCCCTTTGCTTGGCGGAAATGCTGTCAGCGCCAGAGAATAGGGAACCATTCTTCGTCCTCTGCTTCCCCCTAGTGGGTCAGGTTAGCACGGCAGCCGCCCGTCTCCTTCCAAGCCGGCTGCAGTCACTTCCAGTCTTCTCACCTTTACCCCTGAAGGCAGGCTCCTCCCCAGGGGCAATACGGGTGTTCTGGAAGAGAGATGTGAAAGTTTTGGAAAATCTGGCTGTAGAAAATCTCAGAGCTTGGTTCAGGATCATTACCTCCAGCAAGAATTTAATAAGAACCTATCAAGCTCTCCTCCCCGAGAGGAGTCAGGAGACACCCCCATCCCCAAATCGTCCACTCCCGCTGTCAGAGCAATGGACTTCTAAAATTTAATTAAATTATTTATTTTGGGCTCGATTTATTTATTTATTGGGATTAGGATTGAACCCAGGGGAGCTTTACCACTGAGCTACATCTCTAGCACTTGTGATGCTCCTGAGTTGCTGAACTCATATTTTAATAGCAGAGGTGACACCCACAAAATGACTGCTCCTGATTGTTCACATTCATGTCAGAAATAAAAACTTATGTCCACAAAAAACCTGTGAATCAGTGCTCAGAACAACTTTATTTGTAAAAGCCAAACCCAAACCCAAACCAAAATAAAACTGGAAACACTCCAGATATCCCCGTTTCGTTCTTTTAACTTTTAAATAATTATAGATTCATAGGAAGTTCAAAGATAGTGCATGGAGGTCCCTGGTCCATGAATGAGTTCTTAAAAAAGAAAACTTTTAGTACTGGGGATTGAACCCAGAGGTGCTTAAACACTGAGTCACATCCAGCCCTATTTTTTTTTTTTTTTTGTATTTTATTTAGAAACAATGTCTTCCTGAGTTGGTTAGGGTTTTACTAAGTTGCTGAGGCTGGCTTTGAACTCAAGATCCTCCTGCCTCAGCCTCCTGAGCTGCTGGGATTACAGGCATGCGCCACTGTAATCAAGGTACTTGACTACTTCATCACCACAAAGATCTCCCTCCTGCTGCCCCTTTGTAGCCACACCCTTCCTCCCTCTCCCAGCCGTCTTAGCCCATGCCAACCACCAGTGTGCTTCCCTTCTGTAAGTTTGCCAGTATAAGGATGTTATATAATGGAATGGTCTAGTATGTGATCTTCTCGTAATGTCTTTTTCATGCAGCATGGATTCCTTAAGATCCATCCAGGTTACTGCATGCATCAACCGGTCACTCCCTTCCATCACTGAGTGGTAGTCTATGGCTTCTTTAGCCTGTCATTTGTTGAGGAACTTCTGGGCTGTTTCTGTTTTGTGGCATGGTAGGCATCTGTGTGTGGGCTTTCGTGTGAACATGAGCATGATCAGATGTCGATAAAGCAAGTGAAAAGTTAAGGGTGGGACCCAACAGCGCTTCAGTGAGACCTGTTGAACTTGGGGAGCAAATGAGAGGTAGGAAGAAGTGTGTAATTGAATGTCCATGAACCCGTGAGGACACAGCTCACAGAAGATTAAAGCCCCAGGGAAGACAGTGAAGTGAGGCTGTCTGGAGCCTTGGCCAGGACAACACACACACACACTCTTCTGTTGCTTCGTGGGGCAAGTCTGCTGCGACCATTGACGTCTGCATTTCCTATTTGCTGCAGCAGTCATTAAAAAGCATTTGTTTTTGAGCCAGGCACAATGGCACACGCCTGTAATCCCAGTGACCTGGGAGGCTGAGGCAGGAGGATTAAAAATTTGAGGCCAACCTTGGCAATTTAGTAAGACCTTGTCTCAAAAAATAAAAACAACTGGGGATGTAGCTTAGTGGTAGAGTGTTCCTGGGTTCAATCCTCCATTGAACCCAGGGGTGCTTTACCACTGAGCTGCACCCCCAGCCCTTTTTATTTTTTTATTCTCCTTAGGTTCTCCCTAAGTTGCTGAGGCTGGCCTTGAACTTGTGATCCTCCTCCCTCAGCCTCCTGAGTTACAGATGTGCACAGGGCTTGGTTCTTTATCACTTTTTTTTTTTTTTAAAACTGGTATTAGTCAGCTACTGTGATAAAATACCTGAGTAATTGACTTGAAAGAAGTAAGGTTTATTTTGGCTCTTGGTTTCAGAAGTTTCAATCTATGGTCCCTTGGCTCTATTGCTTTGGGCCTGTGACAGCATAGTAACTATGGAGGAAGCATATGGCTGGGAGGCCTCATAGCGGGGAAGGAAGGAAAGGGGTCCAGAGTCCCAGTGTCTCCTTCAAGCGTTCGCCCCAGCTGACCTAACTTCCTTCAATAGGCCCTGTCTCCTAAGGGATCCACCACCTCACACAGCACCACAAGCCAAACCTTCAACACATAAACCTTTGGGGTATATTTTAAACTCAAACTAGCATAACCTAAAGGCATTTTATTGGAAAAAATACTCAAACAATGTAGCAGAATACAGGAAGAAATAGGAAAGATACTCTTCCCACCTCCTGTCTCACCCCAGCCACACACCCTTCCAGATCTTACCTCTGGTACTAGATGTTACCTCTGGTAGCATCTAGTTTTTAATTTTGGGGGCTCTTTTCATTTTATTACATGAGGGAGTTACACTAGTACAAGTTAAAATAGGACCTCAAATGGTTACTTCACATAAGCTGTGAGGTTTTTGAACTCGTGGCAAGAGACAGAGGGAAATTCTACTCACTGCAAAGTTCAGTTGCAGTGAGCCACTGCACTGAACACCCATGAGGCCAGGCATGGTGGTGCACCCCTGTAATCCTAGAAGCTCAGGAGGCTGAGGCAGGAGGATTTAAAGTTCAAAGACAGCCTCATCAATATAGCAGGCCCTAAGTAACTCAGTGAGACCCTGTCTCTAAATAAAATACAAAAAAGGGCTGGAGGTGTGGCTGAGTGGTTGGGTCCCTAAATTCCTGGATTCACTCCCCAGTACAAAAAAACAACAACAGCAACAACAACAACAAACCCCCCCCCCCCAAAACCCACAATCCTTCCCCTGCTGGCCTTTAGCCAGTCCAGTCTCTAGCAGGAACTGGCCTGTGTTTTTGGGCTGGTCATCCTCCAGCTGAATTACTTCTCCATACTTTGGAAGTTCGATTATGGTACACTTGCAGGCATATTTCTTCTTTTCCTTACTAAAAAAATTTTTAATTGTAGATGGACACAATTCCTTTATTTGCTTATTTATTTTTATGCAGTTCTGAGGATAGGACCCAGTGCCTCACGTGTGCTAGGCAAGTGCTCCACTCCTGAGCTACAGCCCCAGCCCAGCAAATTCCTTCTTAAACACCTTCCCCAGGTTCAGCGATCCCTTGGACAGTAGTAAAGGTCTCTCTGCCATTTCTCTGTTGAATTATTATGTGAATATAGTCCTCACAGCCAGGAGGAAGCAGGTCATCACCCTTGCTTGCATCAGCAAAGGAGTTGAAAGAGCGGAGGTTCTGGATAGCCAGGATAGGGACATACTATACAATCCTTTTTCCTCCGCTTACTGAAGGTCATGGCATTGGGGGTGGGGGTGGGGGTGGGGGGACAGAGCTTTGTGGAGCCAGAGGGTTAAAGCGAGAGGCTCCAGAGCTCAGTGAGTTGGCCTCTGGCAGCATCTTGAGATGATTCTTGCACGTACTCTTCCCTGTTTACACACACACACAACACACACCCACACACACACACAGTGTGTCTATATAGTCTGATACAATTGAGGTGTTACAATATGTGTCATGTAGCAGCTTGATTTTTTTTTTTTTTTTTTTTTTTTTTGGTACCAGGGATTTCTGAACCCAGGCCCAGGGGCACTTAACCAACCACTGAGCCACATCCTCAGCCATTTTTTGTATTTTATTTAGAGACAGGGTCTTGCTGAGTTGCTTAGGGCCTCACTAAGTTGCTGAGGCTGGCTTTGAACTCATGATCCTCCTGCCTCAGCCTCCCAATTGGTGGGATTACAGGCATGCACCACTGTGCCTGGCTGCAGCTTGATTTTTTGGACTAAATAGGCTTTGGTGGTCTGGTAAGTGCAGGCAGGTCTGTGTCCTTCTTCTCCAGCCCTGCCCTAGAGAGGGGGCCTCATTTATTTAGTTCCTCTCCTATTCATGGCTATTTGATTTGTTTCTAAGGTTCACTATGATATAAAATGTTGCAACAAATAACCTTTTAAATATGCTTCTTTGTGGGCACATGATTTATTCTCTCACATAGGCCCTGGAAATGGAATTGTCGGCAGGAAGTGGATATGCATCTAATATTTTGAGAAATCTTGACAAATTGATTCCTTAAAGGACGCACTAACTTATATTGCTACCAATCGCTTTTGAGACTGCCAATATTCTCATAACCTCATCACCATTGGGAATCACCAACCTTTTAACTTTTTATTAATTTAATGGGTGCAAAATGACCCTCTTATGGTTGGTTTTAATTTGCATTTTCCCATTTACTAATGCAATTGATCTTGTCTTCTCTGTATTAATTTTCCGTGGGTGTTTCTCTGGATGGCAGTGTCTGCCTTTTCTGTTTCCTCTACTGAGCTATTCCCTTTTACTTATTGATTTCACAAATTCTTCTTACATTCTGAATAGTAATCTCTGTATGACTCAGATATTGTTTTTTTCTGACCTGTCACATTTTTCAAAATATTGTCTATAGTGTGTTTTATCATTCACATATAATTTTAAAAAATTTTTTAGTTGTTGTTAGACCTTTATTTTATTTATTTATTTATATGCTGTGCTGAGAATTGAACCTAGTGCCTCACACATGCCAGGCAAGTGTGCTACCTCTGAGCCACAACCCCAGCCCCCAGATGGATCATTTTATAAGCATTCAATACTAGTTCTCATAGCAATTCTTAAACTTGTAAGAATTACCTTTTTTTTACCGCTAAGCCCTAGCCCCAGCCCCAGCCCCAGCCCCATATAAATTATCTTTTAGGTAGAAAAATCTATTGTTCTTTCTGGGCTCCCTATGGGGAAGCTGCTTGTATAGAGGGGTCAGTCCTTCCCTGGGATCAGCAAGTGACATTTCTCTCAGGTGCATGTGGAGGCCCATTTCCTCAGGGAGGGAGCTCATCTGGGGACACCTGGGAAGGATTCTGAAAATACCAAGCTGCATGGATACTGTTTTCCACTTCTTGAGGCCCAGCTAGGGAGGAGAAATGGAGCGAGGCCCAGGGATCCAGTCCTCGGTCACATATCGGTAGACCTATCAGGCCCTGTGCTGGGTCTGGTGACTGGCAGGTCACAGTGATTTGCTGATATCTGCTCTTGCCAGCTCCTGGGTGTGCATAGGCCTGCTCACAGAGACCTTTCCCTCCATTCCCCGGGACCCAGGCTCAGGTTCTTTTCCTAGGGACATGGCATTCAAGGACTCAGATCCGCGGGCTCTGCAGGGCTGTGGCAGAGGGGAAGCAGCCCCTTTGTACCCACAGCCAGAATCCCAGAATCTGCGTCCTGCTGGCCCTCAGGCAGCTGAACCCTCTCCCCACCTCTGCTTCTCTCTCTTGCCTTCTGTATGGTCCTGTCCAGTGCTTCATCTGGAGTCAAGGACACACGCCGGCCAGGTGGAGGGGGAGGAAGGGCTCCCCCCAACCAGTCTACCCCTTCCTGAGACCTTGGGTTAAGGTCAAGGTTGCTGAGGAGATTTGTGGTCCCTACTCATCAGGTCTCTCCCAGCACCTCCGAGAAGGGAGAATTGAGAAGGATGAAGGCATTTGAGAAAGTGGAGGCCTGGAAAGATGGTCTCTCTGGAGATAGGTCTGGGGGAGGCTGGAGCCGGGAGACCTCCTCCCGGCAGGTGCAGGGAACATCTCTGGGCCCCAAGAAGCCTCAGAGCTGCCTGTCCTTGACAGCTGCAGGGAACTCTGAGGTCCCTTGTCACACCCTAGTCCAGCCTCCTAGAAGGGAAGGAAACTGTGGTCAATATAAATGAGGCTCCACACTTTCTTTTTTCTCCCGTATCCATTTCCTGAGCCCTGGTTTTATCCATCTTCTCTAGAAGGAAGGCCTGAAGACAACTGACCTTGACCACGGTCCTAAATACCAGTGGACTCCACAGGCCTCATGCTCAGACATAGCATGGGTTGGGAGTGTGTCTCCATCCTGTGAAGTTTTGTGAGTTCAAGTTGGGAGAAGAGGAAGGGGAGAGGAGAGGGGATGGGAAGGGAGAGAGGAGACCAAGGTTGGCTTCCACGAGGTGGTTCAGGGGCAGCACTGGACATCATCCTATAACTGTGGGAACACCCTGGGCATGTTGGGCATGCAGCTCAGGGCCAGAGGGTGGGGTGGGAACTGCAGTCCTACTGGGTGCTGGCTGGGAAGTGGTGTGTTTTTATAGTCAGCCAGCAGGCTCAGAAGGGTGTCTATTTGTCATTTCTGCACAGGGTCAGGTCATTGGTCTCATTTCCAAGAGGAGCAGGAGGTGCCTGCAGCAGCCTCGTGTCACCTGAGCTCAGGGTCCGGGTGCTTCTGTATTTTTTAAAATATATTTTTAGATGTTGACAGACCTTTATTTTATTCATTTTTTTATATGTGGTGCTGAGAATCGAACCCAGTGCCTCACACACGCCAGGCAAGTGCGCTACCGCTGAGCCCCAACCCCAGCCCTGCTTCTGTATTTTTAACTCACTGTATTTGTTTTTTTCAAAGCCATAGACAGAGGTTTATTTAGGCAAGTAGATATTCAAGGGAGCATGGGTGGGAGGGATGCCTTTGGGGTGAAGCAGGGGGTACATATTTGAGGGCAAATGTGAGCCATCTCCAGAGGAGAGACTGCCTAGCTCACTGTATTTTTTACGTAGAAGTATTTTAAAATAAATTACAGATGTCCTGACATTTCGCCCTTAAATAATTCATCATGCATCTCTCTAAAAAAAGCATCTCTCTACATAGCAAATTAATATCACAGCCAATGCAATTAAAAATGATTTCTTAATAGCCTTACCACCCGCTGCCTACTCCCTCTTCCCCAAGACGTTCAGCTCTTGAGCCATGGACAGAAACTCTGGTCTGCCTGAGGCCCCAGCTGACCCAGACTTCCTTGCCCTGGACGTGGAGTGGAGCCTGGTCCCCAGAGGAACCCAGGAAGAAAGTGAGAACTGGAGGAGGAGGGGAGGACACCGCGGTTTCTGAGGGAAAGGCCCAGGTAACCATCCCTGGATGCCCGGAGGCTACCTGAACCTCAAGGATGAGTGGCGAGAGGATGGGGGACTGTGTACCCTTCCTGGGACTGTGTGCCCTCTCTGTTGAACTCACGTGAGGCCGTGGCATCCTGACTTAAAGTGACCCGTCCTTGCTGGGCTCCTTCCTCTGCTGTCTGGTGCCTCCTCCGGTCCCACCTCTTTTCTAACTTTGTTCTCCTCTCATTGTCCCCTTCCATCAGTTGGTGCTGGAACCTTCCACAGAGGCCCCTCCACCTGCTGACTCGCTGCCACGGGCTGGCTCCGTGGGTTTCTCTGGGTCCGTGGTATATGCTGTCCCTGGTGCTGGAGTCTGGATGTGATTTGTCCTCCACGGTTCACGTATTGGAAACTTGGTCCTCAGTGTGGTGTTGCGGGGTAGAACCTTGAAGAGGTGGGCCAGTTTGGAAGGTGGTGAGGTCATTAGGAGAGCCGCTCCTTGGAAGGAGTTCATGCAGGTCTTGTGGAGTCAGTTCTTGTGAAAATGAGTTATTATAAAAAGGGTTGAGACTGGCCTCTTCCTGGTCTCTCTGGCTTCCTGTCTCACCATGTGATCTCTCTCTCTCACACGTGCCATCCACCATATTGTTATGCAGTCAAGGGGGCCCTTTCCAGAGGATGAGATAACGGAGTTGCACCATCTTGGAATTATCGCCTCCCAAACTCTTTTCTTCATAAGTACCCAGCTTCACGTAGTTTGTTATGGCAACAGAAAATGAACTAATATACCTGGTAACTCCAAGGAGGGCACAGGAAAGCATTCATTTCGGGCTCATTGACAGCTTCATAGGAAGGGGCTTCAGAATCATCTCCATCCCCTTCATTTTCTGAGGAAAAATAATGGAGGTTCAGAGAGGGACAGTGACCTGCCCAAGTTCACACAGGGCTGAGTTGAGGAAACAAATCCAGGTCTAGGTTTCACACAGCACTCCAGACAAAGGCCCTTTGATTAGCTCGAGGGCGTGTGCTTCACAAATTTTTACTTCAAACACTAGGGCATCTAGGAAGTTTAAAGGCACTGATTACCCGTTAGTGTCTCAGCAGAAGCCCAAGGTACAGAAGGGAGTTTATCTTGAAGAGATTTGTGTGGCTTCATCTAAGGATGGAATCACAAGGAGATTCACAGGAGACCCACACAGAGGAGGTGGAGATTCCATTCTAGGAAGGAAGTGTAGGGAGGGTCCTTGGCAAACATGGGGGAGCTGGGAGACAGTGCTGAGCAGGGATTCTCGGAGGGACCAGCACTCTGAGAATTTCTCTTGACTAGATGTTGACAGGCTTTCTTTTGCAAAG